GCTGTGATCAGCAGCAGCTGGATGCAATAATCGCATGCCAATGTGCATTGGCTCGTTTAGTTTACACTCGAAGTAGATTGGTCCCTCTAAGCGAGATCCCAATTCGTCGGTCATCCGACGTGACGTCGAGAGTGACCGACTGAAAGGGAACTCTGTGTAACAAAGAATCAAGCTAAAAGTGTTATGTGATATTCTTTTTTTTTCTTCTTTTTTTTTTACATGACGCTCAAACAATTTAATATTTGATCTCTTTTGCCACTGACCAATTGAAGTGTAGCCAATGATTACTGGACAATTTGCATGCCAAATCATTACTTCTCTACCTACTAACATATAAGATGCTGTTAACAGAATTTGAATCACCGACCGCATGATTTTATTTTGGGTGTAACATGTTCTACAGAGAGCATGAACTTCTCTTAGTGATGGATGAAATTGTGTTGAACAGATTTCCGTATGCAAACAAGTAAAAACTTTAAAGGATGGCTATAGATATCTTCTCTGGAAATACTACTTAATGTAGACTCAAAAGTCAATAGTCGCATTTTATAAAGTAACATTGCTCAAGTATTGTTCTAGCTTTCAGAGAGCCTTTTGAATGCATGCTTTACGTTGTGTCAGCTTATATAGGTTAGATCCCATAGCACCTAAATGTATTTTTTAGTATATATAGAAAAACCTCTAAATTTGCATCTGCCAGTGTTTGAATCTTACTGCAAAAGATAAGTCAAGACGTAATATAGCAGTAATCAAATCATCCAAGAGATTCTAGCCTTTAAATATAGACACCTGAGAACAGCTACTACACTTTCACACTCCAAAATGGCATGGCTTCCTGAGAAATGCTTTATTTATTATTTTTTTAGCGGCCTCACTGAATACATTTACAGAAAGAACATAAAGCATCTAAAGTCGACACCTAGCCTACTTATTGTGCATATCAAAGCATGTCCTTTTATTTTTAGAAGTAGAAACCGTATTTTGTCGTTAATACGCTGACTTTTAAGGCCCCTTGACTCACGTCTGAGGTGCTGGAGTCAACATGAGTGGCTGTGAAGAACTAGGCTTCTATTTTGAGAAAATGAAAATGCACTGGGGAACACTCAAAAGATTGATATTGAATTTGTTTTTTCATTTATTTCCATTCTCATCTTGACTAACGTGTCATATTTGTCTGAAGACAGCTCATATTTGATGTTTACGACTATGGGGACTGTCTGCCTGTCTCTGATTTTCATTTGGTTTGTGTCTTCTGATCAGATTAGCTACGACTGAGAATAAACACCTTCAGAGGGGCAGAGAGAACGCTGTAGACGAGAGGGACCCCATTATTAAAATGTGACGGATATGAAAATTCCCTCATGGATTATCTGTCAGTGTTTACTTCAGATATTTATCCTGAGAACAGAACCTTGTCTGCTTAGAAATGTGTTAAATCTAAATTGAATGATAGTGAGACCCTGTGAAAATTCAGTCTGTTATTTAGCCACAAAATAAAATAAAATATGGCTTTATCTCCTTTAAAAATAACTTTTGGAATGAATTCCCATCCAAAGGATTAATTATCAAACTCTGTTTTTCCTTATTTTACATTTTCACATTGAGGTTGGCATGATAAGCCCCAATCCCACCAAATTCCCCAACCGTACCCTCCTCTTTTAGCTCGCATATAATGTTGTTTAATTATTCATGACTTCGTGGCAGCATCTTAGAAAGAGATTTTTTCCTTCCACAAAAATGCAAGATCAAAGCCACAAGTCTGTGCTCAGTGACTGTTTGTGTGTCTAAGGATCTTCCTCTAAGTCTCTCTGGGATACTGTCAAAATATGAATGGATGAATAAATTTACTCACTCTCCCAAAAATAGAGTTACATCTTCATGAATTATTTTATTCCCAAGGTTGAGAGTCCATCAGGACAGAGTGTTAAAATGTTCAAATGCTCTGGTGGACTGCTGAACAGTGTGCTGTGTATTCCACTTGATTTTATGTTTTAGCCTACAGTGCCGTGAAAAGGTTTTTGCCCACTTCCTGTTTTTGTTTTTTTTTGCATGTTTGTCACACTTAAAAGATTCAGATCATCAAACAAATTTTAACATCACACAAAGATAATGCAAGTAAATACCCTCCTGTTAAATCATGAAAGAACTGTGATTAACCACATTATTTTAGAAAGCTGAGTT